GACACACAATAGGAGGACGTGTAGTAGAAATGAAAAGGAGGATTCCAGGAACAATACTGTGTAGGTAAGCATGGGATTGTTGAATGTTACAAATTTGTCACTAGTAAGCAAATCAGGGCCCCACAGGGATTTCCTTAGACAAGGTAGAAACAGGCTGTGCAGAGATGCTTTGCTTTCTTACAGTATTACTAACACCTGCTGAGAGTTTTGAGGCACGTTTCCTACCATTTCCTCTTCTTAAAGCTGTAGTAATCTATTTGCTTATTTAATGACCTTATTGTTCTAGGCTGTAAGCACGCATTCATCCCTCAGTGAAGGTTTAATTCTGCTTAACTGCTGGCTTTAGATGAATACAGATTTCTTAAAGCTGATTTGAACTGTGTGCACTGACAGTCTGTGAATCAGGCTTTGGCCCTATATTCATCGACTTCACATCGACCGAACAAAGACATTTCAGAGACAAATGGAGGGAAAATGCGAAGCTGGGTAGAAAATGAGCTTGTGCTAGTGGTAGCTTTACATTTTGTCTACAGTATATAAAAAGTAATGTCCAGAGTTTTAAAAGGCATACTGTCTGGACCTTCTCTATCAGATTGTAATACAAAAACTAAAAACTTTTAACATAAGTAATTGTTATAGAATGTCTGCTATGATATGCACTATTATAGCTGCTACAAAATATATCCCAATTATTTTTAGTACCGCTACCATATCAGCTTTAAAATCCAAGTTACTGGTGATTTCTGTGGTATTTTGTAAATCAACATTCTGTACCATACAGAATGTATTCGCTGACTTCAGTTTACTTGTCCTAGATCGTTGCTAATGAGGTTCTAAATTAATCTGCTTCTGCTTCTTTCTAAAGTGTTATCTCCGAACTATCCTGTACTAGCTAACTTTTCAGTGTATTTTTTCCCTGTCGTTGATATACACATCTGTGCGTTTTGGAAGATTGGGGCTGAAATATGAAAAAATGTACTTATAAAAGGTCAACCTTCTGAAAAGAACAGGCTATCATATTGACATTTTCAACAATAACCGAGCCAGAAAGCATGACATCTAGGTAACAGGCAAGTCAAATTGCATGTTCTTTTATTCTTTTCTGAGGTGTCTGGGTGCCAGATGACCAGGATAAGGCTTGTATTAATTACGTATTATTCAACAATAAAACCCTTTTGACAGTTTCTTTTGATGACAAGGAGTCACTCTAATTAAGCTAATCCTAGCAATAGGATCAGCTGTGGGCTGGCACCTAACCAGTAGGACCAATTCTTCCCAATCTGTCCCTATTACCTAGAGCGAGAATGAATGTGATCAGTAGCCTGCATTTAGGAAACAATAACAAGCAGATTGTGCTGTCAGGGTCCATTAATTGCCATCATTAGCATCACAGTTTTGAATCTGTAACAGTTTTCTAAGCCTCAACCACTTCTTTGTTTAATTTAAAAGGACACATGATTACAGGAGACTTGTTTGTTAATGAAATAAACAAAAAAATAACAGTATTACAATAGTAAAATTAAAAGGTGTATCATTAACATCTTTTAAAAAACGGTAATAATACTAATTTGCTGTTCTGTTTAAGTTTAACCTTGTACCTTGACATCAGTAATCCACTGCACAGCATTTTCTTGGAAAGCACAATAAATCTCATATTTTATTTTCCCTTTAAACTATTTGTTTGCATATTATGCTTTTTCCATGGTCTTTATATATTTATACAAGGTAAGTCTGTTTCTTAATAGGAGAAATGTAGCAGATTGAAACTTTAAGGGAGAAACATCCATTCATCAGTTCTTTTTAAACAAACATGTTAATACTGAGAAGAGCACAGAGATCTAGATCATAACCCAGAAGGCACAAGGTGCAAGGCTACACCTTAGACAGGGCACCAGTCAGGGAGAAATACATGACTGTTTCACATTCTAGGTTTTACATTTAGGTGATTTAGGTTTCACATTACATGGCTGTTCTTTAATCAGTTCAATGCAATAGCATAGATAATAGGTTTACCAATGTAAGAAAGATTCTTTAACATCTCTTGTACAATACTCTAATGAAGAGTATCTTAACAACCAAAGACTTTTGGTAGTGTGTTTCAATTATTAACAAAAAGGACTGGGTCAAAAAAGGAAATTACACCTGAGATAATCTTACTTCAGATTACATTTCCAGAAATGACTAAGCAGTAGTTCTTCTTTAGTTTAATTAATCTTAAAAGGTTAATGGAGTTCTGCATGGCATACTTTTGGGTCCCTCCTATTTCGTAATTTGTGAAATGTTTCTAAGGTTCTAAGTTTATAAGGCCAGTGAATTATAGACTGGTTTGACTTTGATATATTAATACACTAGGGAACTCTGTCTGCTTTGTCTGCTTGATTATATGTTGTATTTCAGCCTACATGCAAACTGTAATGAAAAAACATTTATTATTTATGGCTGTATATGTACAGTACATGTCTCTCATTCTGATCCTAAAATGATTTATGAATAACTATTGTGAAATTACAGAACTACAAATTGTATTGATGAGTTTAACATACATTAAAAGCAGGTACTTACTGTAGCACTCCAGACTGGAAGTTATAAATAAATAAATGCTGAGCACAATGAGAGCTACAACACTTTGTCACAAATTAACAGTAAATCAATAAATAGCTACCAGCACACTACCGGTATAAATAAGGAAATGCAAACTAAATAAGCATACAATATAGTATACAATCTCTTTAAGTGAGAAAAGCCAATATCTTCTGACATTTTCAAACCTACCATATTTATGGAGATTCACAAAGATTGAATGTGTGCTGCTGCAAGTTTGATCAGAACAACTGTCCATCTCCTGACACAAATCGATGAATGACAATGAATCAACATGTGCAATTGACATAAGTTCAGCTGAAGTCTCTTCCCTGCAGCTGACTGCAATTAATACCTACTGACAAGAACAATGACTCAACATTTCCCTTTCATAAAAAAGCAATTAGTGCTGCCTCTTTTATGTGAATTGTAAAGATCATGGTTCTGAATTTTAAGTGGCTGTAGGTGAACTTTTGATGTTGTGGACGGCAGGGGACATTATTTTTTCGATCACATTTTTTTTTTCTGCAGTGGCGGTTGTCCAGTAGTGGAATAGTGACCTTAATTTTTTTTAATTTCATATGCTGTCACTTATTTCCTCTCTGGTTGACACTATGAGATACATATTTGCTTTGTAGAATAATCTCATGCTGCAATTAGATTAGATTAGATAGCTGCAATAGTGTTTTAATGCCTTTGAATTCTATATCCATATATACAGAAATAATAAAATTGTTCAGTGATTAATTGTTATTAATTTTCCTCATTCTGTAGAAAAATGGAGAAACAGTCTTCAACCAATATTTTCAACAATATTAATTGAAAAAGGGTACAAAAGTTGTATTTGTGTCAAAGCAAATTTGAACTTCCATATATAACCAAATAATTTAAATAGCTCATGCCTTGCAAAAGCATTTTAACTTATAGAAAGGCACTCCCTTTAAACAGAAAAAGATGAGGTGGAAAGAGTTTTGTGTTTCAAGGAAATGAGTAGAAAATTATTTTTCCTGACTTTTGTCACATTTCACACTTATTCTTCGTTTGTGTGGATTGGGGAACAGTTCAGTTAAACCAAGAAAAAAACATAATGACCCCAATATTCATTATATAAAAGATGAAAAATACTGAACCATGAAATGGATTCCAGAAGTTAGACTTCTGGAATCAACAACAGCTTAGCCTTATGTTAAGAAAGCAAATGGCACATGATCTAAGACTGAATAAAAGACAGCTGCTAGGAAGTACCGTGGACGTTAAATTAGGAACATGACCTAAAGGGAATAGAAGAACTCAAATACAAATCCCATTGGTGACTCCTTGAATTGTGACTATGTTACTGTGGCCATTCAGAACCATCCCTCCATTTTCTGGCCACTTCTTCCAATTCAGGGTCACAGGGGAGCTGGAGCCCATCTTGGCAGGCCAACGACCGCAAGTCAGGGTACACCCTGGGCGTGACACACAGGCACAAACACCAGGGCCAGTCTTCCCGGAAGCTAGTTAACCTGCCAGCATGTTTTTGGACTGTGGGACGAAGCCTGAGCACCAGGAGAAAATGGGGAGAACATACAAACTCCACACGGATCGCAGACGAGGCTGCAGAAGTTCACCACTGATCCACCAGGCTGCCCTTATTCGGGACCCTTTCATGCAAAACTGCTGCTTGGTCTTTTATTTCCAGAAACGTCCTTCACTGATTATTAATGATGTTCTTTCACATCACCAACGTTTTCAAGGGTACAGAATATATAGATGATTAAACAACTTATTGGGTCTTATCAGGTAAAGTGCCAAAGGTACCCTTAACAGACAGACTTTCACAACCACAAGTTCCCAGGTCTAAGCAACAGTTAATCATTGAGTCCAGAAACTTGAATAATTCCAGTTTTCTGCAAAGCAGAAACACGAGAAACAGAAATTGTCATGCATGAAAAATTGTTATTGGAAATAAGTCTCAATCCAAATATTATTTTTAATTTTTTTATTTAAATATTTAATTTTTTATTTGAAACAAAGTCTTTTAATTCTAAATACGGCATGTTATAGTTCCTATAATTTTTCCTTTCTCCCCTCAGATACCATTATAAACTGCAGGCATTCTATAGAAGCTAAATTATCACATCTGAACATAAAACGCATGTTGTCATCACTACGTATGAATAAGTCTAGTAATTACCATGAATGCTTATTGAGTTATTCATCTCAGTTTAAAACCTAGCAGGCAGTGGTTAGAGATAACACTACAGAAAAAAAATATGATTTAAAATAGTTGCACATATATTTTCAGCATCAAAAGAGTTTGCTCAAATTTTCTCTTAGCACTTCGCAATGAATTACATCCAACAGAGCCCACAGGCGCAAAGCGCCATCTGCTGACTATATTCGAAAATGACATCTTCACAAAAGGCGCATGCTCGCTTATGTTGCGAGAGACAAACAGGAAGACATGAGAGATCGTGACTCAGGCGTGATTGCCACAAAGTAATACATGTTGTAACAAAAATCTGTTATGAAACCACGAAAATCCAACTGTAGAATAATAGCTGGCTTCCTGACTGTTTTAATTGTTTTGCTTGCTGCTGTCTTAAATCATTTGGAGACCTCTGAGCCGACCGCTCTTCCCAGGTACAGTACTGTAACTAACAACCATGAATTAGAAGGGAATAGGTAAAGGTCATGCTGAAAGGTAAGGAAACACAACATTTTGTTGTGGGGCCTTCTTCAGGACACCTGAAGAAGCGTTAAACCGTGTGTAATGACCAAATTACTATCGCCTGGTTTTGTTTATTGCTATCGTCTCTGCTGTGTGAAATAGAATACAATAAGAGAGGTGGCCCAATAAAAAGTGATGATATCAAGAAAGTCCACGACAACGGAGCCCACAGATTGCTCATCATGGGAATCCGCCATGACGTGCATTTCGTCTTTTAGTGTTGATCGCTGAACGGTGTGCACCGACCTCTGCCTGTCTGATGAAGATTGCTCCCCTTAAGGCTCGAAATGCATATGGTTACAAAACTCTCAACTGCAACACAGTAACGCCCAACTTGTAAACATGTAACGACGTCTCGCTACCAGTGAAGTGATATTTGTAACATTATTCAGACAATTATTTGGGTCCGATACAGAAATGTTTCCTTTAGGTAGTACTTAACTATTTACTTTGCAGGGTGTTAATTAAATAAAGTGAAATAAAACTATTTGTCTCACACGAGCACTGTATGGTGTAAAAAATAAATGTTGTAATTGAACAACGATTGGAAAATTGTTTAAAGCATTTAACTGAGATGCTAAATTAAATAGTATGCTATTCCCTATATACACACCTATAGTTGCGTAAACGAGCTTTTCATATGTTTCTTACTGTACGTTTTAAGTTATTAGTTGGCATTAATTGGAACATAAGTACAATACATGTTTAGTTATTTTGTTTTAATTTCAGCAATTATAAATATTAAGTTGATGCAAATAAGAAAAAGGAGCTGGAAAACTAACAGACTAGATGCTGATGTGAATCAGAATGTTATTTCATTTATACTGCAGATTGTACATGTTTAGTTTAAATATGATATGAAACAGCACATCTTGCTACATAAAAAGGCTACTGATGAAGCCTTCTCTATTGCACGTAGAGGTTAATGTATTTAGTTCCATTTGAGTAGTGACCTTATATAAAAGTTCCCAGAACTCTGAAGCTGTTTTGCAATTCTATGTTGATGTTTGCTAATGAACACATTTACATTAATGTAAACTGACTGATGTTTATATGCAAGTGAGGCATCCAATAGTAGTGTAAAACAACAATAAAACCACACATTACAGTAAATAGAGTGTTAATTATGTGCCAGGATGCTGCAGTGTTAAGGAGTTTCAGTGTTGCTTGACAGGATGTCGTAACATAAGAGCACAGACAGTAAAATATCAGTTAGTCTCATCCCTCTGAGGTACATACTGAAGCAATGAGTTATAACTGCATTTGAATTCAACTTTGTTATTGTAAGAAATATTTCCAATACAGAATGGCAGAGGACATGAAGACGCTAGAAGAGAACTTCAGACAGAAAAACAAAAGCTGTTTCATTCTTGGGGCATCGGGTGAGACTGGCAAAGTGCTGCTGAAAGAGATTGTGACCAAGCAGATCTTCTCAAAGATCACCCTGATCGGACGACGAAAACTGACTTTCGAAGACAAAGGTTCTGAAAACTTAGTAAGTCAAAGAAATAATGCATGTTCAAAAAGCTGTAAATAGCATTTTCATTTGTTTCCTGCAGAGTTTTGACGAATGCCTTCATTTTGGAATATAAACGTGATGAACCATTTTTACCTCATTAAAAAGTCAAGTCTGAGAAAATAAATACGATTTTTAATTAGAGGTTTTTTGAAAGTCTTGCTCTTTACATTTGTGGTTTTTCCATCCAGCAGATGTTTTGTGAGCTCAGTCCCATAACAGGTAGTCAAAAGCATATGAGGGAACCACAAATCAAACAGTATAAATAGTGGGAGGGCTTTTTTTCCCTCAGGTTCAGGAGGTGGTAGATTTCGAGAAGCTAGATGACTATGCTGCCGCATTCCAAGGTCATGACGTTGGCTTCTGCTGCTTAGGAACAACAAAAGCCAAAGCAGGAACAGTAAGTTTTTTTTTTCCTTTTATGATCTTAGAAATTTAAATTACACCTCATACTGTTTTTGTTATTTTGTCTGCTCTCAAAAACTTTCCCATGGTATAGATATACCCATGAGATACTACGAAGGAGTTAAAACTAGTGAAAACATCTATACTGTATTTGTTTCCTATCGTTGGTTATGGCCTCATTTCTCTTGTAATATCTTTGCATCTTAGAAAGATTCCCTAGAAGCTTTGTGACTTCTCTAACAGGGTGTCTGCCTGATTTTTGTTTGGTGATTATAGTTATTTGTATGGTTATTAATAAAGCAGCATTTTAGAATTTAGGCTGAATTGATTTTTTTTCAACAAAAGCAGTAGGTCAATAATAAACCTATTCAGAATGTTAACAATCACTCATGCATAAAAAAACAGCTTTTAAGTCTTCGTATTCTTTTTCAAATTAAAAAAAGGAAGTAAAATAACGTGGCACAATGCGGTCAGCATCTCATGAAGTGTAGATTGATGTTTTGTTCCATAGGCATCGTTTGAATAAAAAAAAACGGTGTGAAAAAGTTTCCTTTTCAGTGCACTGCTGGCTGTTGTTAGTGCCTGGCTGTCATGGAATTAGTGTGTTATACATATTCCTGAGAAGAAGGATGTAGTGTCAGGAGCAGAATGCTTCAACTCTGAACTGGCATTGTGCAGTGGAGTCGTGAAGCGTATTAGAGCTAATGTATTTGAAGTTTAAAACTGCTGAAAATAGATTCACATACATACTCATTACCTCTTTAGAATGTTAGTGGAACACAAGACAGTCATTGTAGCTTTTTTTTCTTCTTTAACCTTTTAAAAGCTGTAGAAATGCCTGCACCCGAAAGATGTGAAATTTCTTTAGAGTGCGGAGTCCATTTGTTGCTCATAAAACAATATTTAGGTTGATGTGGGGCAGTGCGTGCGTCACCTTCCTGAATAGAGCCCATTGAGCCTGGCTGAGGGCTCTGCTGCGGGGCTATGGGGTGGTAGCGTGGGTACTTGTGTATCAGGGAGGGGTTGTCAGTTGTTAGTAGGAGTGGTAGAAAAAGAAGCCGACGGCGTCCTCTGCTTGGGTTAGCATTGAGGTGATCTAACTGCATAATCGGATTGAAAGTGAGCCATGGTATTTATGTCAGTTCACATTTCATCAAATGGTCGCACTGAATTAGAGTCGACAGTACAGAAGGCTAATCCAGAACTAAAGCCAAAATAATTAGGGGCTCGATTTAATCCACTCTTCATTATACAGGCCCTTGAATAACATTAAAATGAGGCAATGCTTTCACTGGCAGGGCAGCGTCGAAAATTTCGAATGCACCAATCAAGTTATGGGTACAATTCTGTCAACACTTCAGCTCTGCGGAGCTGTGGGCAATGTTTTAAAATACATCGTGGTAACGACATGTCTGCAGTGGAGAAGTAGAAAATAATCTTGAGGTAGTAAAGAAAAGAATCAGTCCAGGAGGTTCAAGCTATATTTTTGATGGAAACACTAAAGCTTTAAGAGCTTCGTCTATTCATTTGTACCTGTAACACATACTCATTCCATTTAAATCCATACTGGGCTTCAACATAATATATTGAAGGTATTTTGTCACATTTTAAGTTTAAAAATCTTCTCCGTTTGCACAATTTACATCATTGTTTACTCCCATTAGTGTCTGAAGAGAAAAGATGTTGTGTAGTTGATCACAATTCCCTGTTTGTTTCTTTTAAACAGGAAGGTTTTGTACGTGTGGACCATGACTATGTTTTAAAGTCGGCAGAGCTGGCAAAGGCTGGTGGTTGCTCCCACTTTACTCTGGAGTCTTCAAAAGGAGCAGATAAAAACAGTGGTTTCCTCTACCTGAAAGTAAAGGTCTGCAACAGATATTTTTTATAAAACCTTTTGAAAAGCTTAGCATTTATTCTATTTCTTTATATCTGTGAGATATGGAAACCTTTTTAAAGATCAAAATCCTACACCTTTCAAGATGGCTTTGGGAAATTTTGCTTTTACTGTATAATCATTTTTTTTGCTTAAACCACAAGAGAATTTCTTAATGTGTATCAATCTAAAATTACTTATCTGTAATCCTTTGGTCTAATTTTATTTTTATTATATTTTTCACTGCCCTTGAGTCCCCATCTTAACATTTGTATGTTTGTATTTTTGTTTTTTAGGGCCAGGTTGAGGCTGATATTGAGGAACTTGGCTTTGATAGATATTCAGTCTTTAGACCCGCGTAAGATTTTTGTCAAATTTCTGTAATTTCCAAGTACAATAAAGATATTCTGCATTAACAAATATCTTAAACTATGATATTTCTAAACACATTAATTTAGTTATACACTTCATGTATATAGTTTAGTACATTATATGAAACTAGTCTGGTATCATATAATAAATAATGTAATTGAAAATTAGTGGCCTAATAAAATTACCCTTTGCTCAATACTCAGGATCAGATTTCCATAAAATCAGCTTTAAAAAAAAGCATGTTTCAGTGCATTTTAAAATTCTATAGCTTGTGCTTTACAAGACTGCACTGAACCTGAAGAGTTTCGTTACATAATATTTACTTTGTAAACTACAGCTAGCAAGACGTAATGTGAATATGAGAGGTGCATTGGTACTGTATTCATTTCTGTAATACTGAACATGGACACCCTAAGAGTGGACAATTCTTTTTTTTTTCTTGCAGAGTTCTTCTGGTTGACCGACAGGAATCTCGACCAGCGGAGTGGTTAGCTAGGAAGTTTCTCGCCCCCCTTTCCCTCGTGTTCCCCACGGCCTTGTCGATACCGGTTACAACAGTGGTCAGGGCTATGGTGGTGAACGTACTCATGGAAGGAGAGAAAAAAGTGGAAATATTGGAAAACAAAGACATCTTTAACCTGGGAAAACTGGCAGAAAAGACAGAGAAATAACACAAGGTGGAAAACCAATCCATTAGGGGTGTGTGCAACATGCCACACGAACTGTGATGGTAAGTGGTCAGGATGTATTTGGAATCTTTCCCACACAGCAGTGAATTCTTAGTTACTATTGCTTTTCCAGACGGTCAGAATAAATGAAAAATGCCATGTGAAAAGCACTTTTATTACCACCGCGTTGCAGAATATCGGATTATTTTATTACAATAACGTTTTTATTTTTTAAGTGGGGAGTGTCAGCCATCATTAACATTTGATTAGTGTTTCAGAAGCAGCACTACCACCTTGTAGCCTGATTTCGGGGGTCTGTAGTAGGTTGGGGGGCCACTAAGGAAAACCAGGTTGCCATTGTAAGTGATTCTGGTGGAACAGCAGGGGACATGGGCACTGTGCTGTAGCAGGTGCTGTTCTCCCAGTGTCATTTCTTGCTTGCCCACCAGTCTGCTGTGCAGCTATGTTGGTGCACTGATACCACAGTTGTGTGTTTAACATGGGAAACATGACAATATAAAGGTTTGGGGTTTTACATGTGTGCTCAGTTTTATGTGTGGGGATCCAAAAATTGTTTTTGTATTACATCTGTTGGATTATTTGAAAATGAATAAATGTGTTGTAAAACTTGTATATGTGTTGTTTTTTTTTATTTGGAGGTAAATAATGTCAGCAAACTAGTCTAGTTAAAATAATGCATGTGTGTAATGCATTCTCTGGAGGTCTCTGTATCTTGGTAAAATTCCTTGTTTGTGTAATGTGTCATTTTCTGAAAATAAAGGGATTTTTTAAAACAAAATTTAGCACACATACTTGAGCAATATTAAGCCTTTTTGATCTAATGTCAGGGTTTTTAAAAAATGTTAGTCATATTACTTTATCAATGGACAATTATTCTAATTACTTTTCACAATATTTCTTAAATGATTGTATATGAGTTTATTTAATCTGAATTAGGAGTATGTATAAAAGGACATTTTGATGAGTAATACAGTGAAGAGGATCTTTTAAATTCATTTTGGTGTTCTAAATAACAACCCAAACATACGTTTTGAAATCAAAAGAAATTTACAATATGAATACAGATAAGTGAAAGTTTCATATTGGCTTTGATTCTCCATAATCATAATTATCCAGAATTTTTTAGGTTTGGTGTAATTACAGTATTCTCAATTTTCAAGAGCAACTAGCACCAGTCAATAAACTATGCAATCTCAGTAACATAATTAACATAATTAACAGGTGTCCCTAAATAAATTGAAATAAAGACCAATTAAATTCTTTCATGTGCCATTCTGAGAACAATCAAATGAAACATGAGCTTCTTCCTCCAAACATTTAAAATACACTCTCCAGACATTCACAAACTAGAGTAACTTACATTACTAAAAGGCCTCCCTATGTCTTAACCTTCTTTTTAGACTTAAAAATTATGACCATATATTTATTCACACTCCAAAACAGAATGCACACCCTTCACGTTTTACAGTTTGTGATTTGATATGCTCTGACTTTTTATTTGGATTGTTTTTAATGCAAACCCTGCACTGTAATCTAGTTTTGTAGGCTTTGCTGGGCCAGTTGGTACAGTAGAAAGTATGTGACTTTTAACTCGCTTAATTACACTGTAATGCGAAATAGCACCACGACGTGTTGGTTGGCGGAACTGCAGTTAGTGAAATAAAGCTTGTGACCCGGAAGCAGCTGCTTTTGTTGGAACTTCGGAATCATGATGGCGCATTCCATCGGTAAACACGTGAAATTGTTACACACTTCAAAATATACATTTTTCTTACAACTGTAGTAGTTTATGGCGAACATGTAACACGCAACCAGACTTTATATAAAACAGGGAAGATTTATATAAAGAAAGATGGATCCAAACAAGAAAAGGGACTAAGTACTGGATGCTATTGAATACTTAAAGGAATAGCGTTCGTTGTTTAATGGTCGTTATGGAAAGTAGAGGCACTGCTAAGAATGGAAATGCAGTAGGTTGGATCTTAAATGTGGCGAACGTAATATTGCTATCGTTTGTTCTGTTTTTGATATTGCGATGTTTTTAAGGTGAAAATGAAGAAGCTTTTGATGAGATGCCAGAACTGTCGGATAGCGAAGACGAGGATGCGTGGGAAGATGAAGTTGCCGAAAACGAAATAAAAGTCAACTGTTTGTTTTGTGACAGGTGAAATGTACTTCTCTATCTCTTCTATGCAGGTGAAACTTTTTTTTAATTGTAAGTTTTAAAATGCATATAAATAGCGGGGAAGTAATTGTTTTTAAACACAGCTTCATTTAGAAATGTCAGTACATACAGTACGTTTTGCTTTACTTACATGTTAAAAATGAACGACTCTATCTTTAGAGGAAGAATATGAAACCTCTTCTTTGAAAACAATAATGCGTTTCAAGACGATACACAATAATATTTGAATTCACTTTGCTTTTTTTATTCAAGTATTAAGCACTAAACGGAAGAAGGTACAATTAGTAATATAGCTAAAAGGTCATTTTTAATATTGTAACGCAACGGGGGCTCAGGCGGGCGCCCTTGCCGCATCTGGTCGGCCCCATCCCGACTGG